TATCCGTGATGTATCTTGGAATGTAAAAGAGTTCCCTTTATTGTTAAAAATTGAATTACTTTAGTATTGTGTCATTGTTAGACCTTGAGTAAGTTTATGTTACAGTGTGTCTGAATATCTGTAGAGAAAGAAAAACATCAACTGTTACTTTAAAAAGTCAAAATTGGGCACTGTTTGTGTTGCACCACTACTGTATCTTTTTCAAAGAACTAACCGTAGTTTCCTATTGTCACAGTTAATTTTGATGATGTTCTCACATTCATCAGGCATTTTTTTCTATATTATTTACATCCCCAAATACTTAATAGAAATGCATTTTCCAAGACTTGGGCATTCAGAGAGCAACAGAATGACAACTCAGTTTTAATTTCTAAAACCAAAAAGATTGCTGTAAGACTGAACAATTGTGAATTATTATTTATAATGACAACCAATGTGCATGCTTCTCTCCTTACTGTAAAAGAATTGATCAATTTCACCATTCAAATAGTCAGAACTTACTAAATCATGCAAATATCATGTGTCTTTTAGATTTCTGTGTATGCTGTGAAAGAAATTACTTTGAGATGAAATTTTACAAAAGCATTTTGAAAGGTTATGGATGCATCATACCTCCAAATAATACATATTCAGAAAGTTAAAGGTTTCTACAAAACAAATTAATAAACTAAAAGCCAAAACATGCATACAGTGCAAACTCAATGCATGATTAAATTTAAACAGACAATATCCTGTAAAGAAATGAGACAAACAGAACACTTATATACTGCCTGCAGAAACGTAAAATGGGAATCTAGTCATTTATTATGCATTTTATTATAAATACATACTATATATTACATATTTATAATAAAATGCATATATATATATATATATATATATATATATATATATTCTGCTCCTTAGGTATTTGCCAAAAAAAATAAGAACCTGAACTATATAAGGACTTTCTCACGCATATTCACAGCATTACTGACACCTAATAGACAAAAACTAGAAACTCAAATGTCCATTATGTTAATGGGCATAAACAACAATGAGATGCTTTTCAAATGAACTAATGAACTAAGCTAGACATAAAAGACTATATAACTAGGCTTCCACAAATACCAAATTGTAGAAGCAACAAAACTAGTGACAGAAAGTAGATCAGTGATTGCTGGTGGCTAGGGAATAAGGAAAGAAGATTAACACCAAAGAGATAAAAAAAAAAAAAACTCCTGAGGAATGATGAAAATGGGCTGTATCACAGTTATGGTCACAGTTACACAGCAATCACACTTTGTCAAATTAGGGGAGGTGATATAGCCAAGTGATAAGGATGAGTCCCCTGGGTTTGATTCCACAGCCCCAGAGGAGTAGGCGATAGTTTGTCAAATTGCTTGCTTATACTGGTGAATTTTGCCCAGTACAGTGCCACGTCTGTAATCCCACTACCTAAGAGGTTGAAGCAGGAGGATCCTGAGTTTGAGCCCAGTCTAGGCTACATAGTAAGTTCAAAATCAGCCTGGAATATGCAGCCTGACCCTGCCTCATAAATAACAAAGGAAAAAAAAAACCAAGATGGTGAATTTTATCACACATTAATTATGCCTCATCAAAACTAACTGAAAATGGGTGGGGCAGGCAGAAGGGAGAACCAGGAAGCAGCAGCGCCCTCCTCATGAGTCAGCCAGAGCCACACAGGCAGGGAGAGAAGATCCTTGCTCCCAAAGCGACTGGCTGATTCCCCGATTTGGAAGAATGCAGGCTGAGATGATAGCAACTGAAGTAAAGAAAGAACTGATTGACTGATTGACTGATGGATGGATTGATTGATTGATTGATTGATTGATTGATTTTGCAGAACTAAAGCTGGTAGTCTGAGCACCTATTTAGAGAATAACAACATGCAACATACTAACTACTGTGGATTTCCTACTGTAATTAATTGAAAATTTAAAAAAGATTAAAACAAAACAAAAAAAACCAAAGACATGCAGAGCATTGCCTCCCCTTGTCCACTAAATGCCAGCAATTCCTCAAAGTTGAGGGTTCTGCTTTTTCTTCTCAGTATACTTTCTCCCCCCACACTCCTTTCTTTTTCCATCATCCACTTCGGTTCAACAAGCACCTAGTCCATCATCACTAACAGACACCTCATTATCACAAAAGCCTAGTCCATCATCACTACAAGACACCTCTCAAATCTGCACCTCTAACCAGTATCTCTGGAGAACAGCAGTCTTATTTCCAAATGCCTTGTGACATCACCACATCAAATCCGCCTTCCCCACTTCACCAAATCCAGCCTCCCTACCTGATAATGCTCCACTACCCTTCCTCCTACATCCTTACAAAATCAGATCCTTTTGATGACCCTTAAGGTACCCAGGCTCAAAAGCAGTCTTTGAATCAGGCCTTTCCTCCATAGAGAGGCCTCTCTTGCTCTGTGCTTCAGTCCTCACAACTTGCTGTGGTAAACTACTGTACAATGGGCTGCTGAGGAGTGACCCCACTCCAAGACCCTCTGCCTAATTCTACCGAATTAATCTTAAAGCTCAATCCTAACTATATCACTGCTTTGCTATTTTAAAAAACTGATATTTCTCTTTTTTCTATCAAACTGAAGAGAAGCCTAATGGATTACTGTAACCCTACCTAAATCCCAATAACTAGTTCATTCATTTCCTGCCCTCACCCTGCTTAGAGCTCACAATCCACTGTCCTCTCCACTCTATCAAATAATATTATCCCAGCTCTAGTCAAGAAGGTATTCCTGCCAATCTCCACTAACAACTTAGCCAAAATGTGTTTACTCCTACCTCCATACCCACAACGATGCAGCTGCCCCACTAATACGTATCATTTCCTCCCTACCTAACCAGTTCTATTCTTCCCTTGGGTGATGATTCAGATCCCAGCTGCTCCTGCCTCCATTAAACCTGTTATAGTAACTTCCCCTGTAGTGCTGGGAATTGAATCCAGGATCTTCCACAAACCCGGCAAGTGCTTGACCCATGTGCTACATTTCTAGTCCTGTTTTAATGACTTTAGGTTTCAATTATTTTTGTCATCTTGGAATTTCTAAGGCTCTCACATGGAACTACATTAGAACTGTAAAACTAAATGTTAAATGTTGTCTTGTATGATTTCTACTTGGTTCACAATATCCCGTAAGAGATCCTTCTTGGGGGCTGGGCATTTAGCTCAGCGGCATATGCACCTGCCTTGCAAGCAGGCGGTCGTGAGTTTGATCCTCGGTATTGATTAAAAAAAGAGAGAGAGATTCTTTCTTTTTGTATTCCTGCATAGATATTAGCACATTTGAAATATAGTAACTTTTACTAATAAAATAAGCAAAAGTATATTACCATAAATTGTAGAATAAAAGGTTTACAAGCAGCTAAAAGCAAGTTTACTATTTAATGATTCTTTTTTCATTATTCCACACAATAACTCAAAATAGTGATTCCAAACAATGGTTGCTATCAAAGAGGACTTTTTAGAACATCACTGTACTTTTTAATGAAAGAATCTTTGACAACAAAGGAGACTATTATCCATTTGTCAAGTGTAACACCCTGACAATCCAGAAATGTCAGTACCTACAGTTTAATTTGCAGCTGACCTCAGGCCAAGAACCAGACACTAGACTTTAACAAAAGTCTTCATCACATTGTTTGTAGAAAAAAATTTCCCCTTCTTTAGAATCATTAGTCTGCAAACATCTATAAAAAATAGCCTATATCATGACAACAATAATAGTTTTGTTTTGTTTTTGATAAGGTCTATGTAGCTTGGGCTATCCTTGAACTCTCTGTGTAGCCCCGCTGGCATCAAACTCATGGTGATCCTCCTGTTTTGGCCTCCTGTGTGCTGGTATTTTAGGCATGCATATATTTTAGTAAATTTATCCTAGCTGAACTCCCAGTAATATCTTTTGTTTTTGTTTTTTGGTCTTTTTGAGACAGGGTCTCACTAATGCAGTTCAGGCTGACCTTGAGCTTACCCAGGCTAGTCTTGAATTCACAATGATTCTCCTGTCTCAGAGTGCTGGGATTATGGTGTGAACCACCACAACTGGCTTCAATAGTGTATCTTTAAGAACTCTTGTTATTTGCCTGTTTGTGGGGGTTAGTAGTATTGCAGATTTAACCCAGGACCCTCACACAAACTGAGCTATCCTTTTTCACTTTTTATTTCTGAGACAGGATCTCACTAAATCGCCAAAGTGCCCATTCTGGGCTCAAACTTTTATTCCTCCTACCTCGCAAGCCCAAAATGCTGGGATTACCAATGGGCACCACCACGAGAACTGATTTGTAGAAGATTCCTTAAATAAAAAACAGAGAAATAGCAAAAACCATGGCTAGTCCACAACCATGAGATATGAATTGTAGTCAGGTGTTGTGAGGAGAACATTTAGAATCAGGACACAGAATTTGTAATATTATTATGATGGTCACTTGGAGTTAAACACAAGAAAATCTGTCCACAACACCAAAGACATAGAATATTCAGCCAAAGGCCTGGATCCCACAGCAATGTCCTGCATGAGTCCAGATGAAAACCTAGAGCCCATAACAGTGCCTCCCATGCATCCAACTGGAGGACTAGAGCCCACAGAAGGACTCACGCCAGACTCTTTTATGGATCTGTGCTGGGAAGGCCCAAAGGTCAACAATAGAAGCTAGAAAGTGTATGCCAGTGGGGTGAAGGAGCTGTGCTGGTAGGTTGACATTCTACCCTGGAGCTGAGAAGTCACACTCAAAACAAAGATCAGGGCTGTCCCGAAAAGCACCACAGCCATCCTTAGCGACACGGAGTCCTGAGCTCTTCCAATAAGAACATGCCAGAAAGCCAGCATGATGAGTTTGCCTTGGAGAGTAAATGGCACGCATCTTTCCCTCTAGAGCCAGGAAGCAATGTTCCATGAAAGGACCACAGCTCTTCCAAAGGGAACCACAGCCACTCTCACCAACAAGGTCCCGAGCTCTTCATATGATGGTCAAACTCACGTTGGGGAAGCTAGTCATGACGAACTCCTCCAGAAGAACCAACGGCTCAAACATCAACACTTAGAGAAACCCACAAAGCCTAGCTTCTCCTTCTCCATGTCACTATTTATGCTGGCAACTTTCCTCAGGTGGAACATCTATGCTCAGCACGGTGCTGATTTAATTCAGCTGGTGTTAAGTTGACCATCAGTTTTTAATCCACAAGACTACCAAAAAAAAAGTTATCTGACAGATCTACTGGTATAAAAATAGTGGGGTAAAAGAAAAAGCCATAATAACAAGAACACTAAACTTTACCTTTAAAGCTACCTATTAATCTGTAAATCTAAAAAAAAAAAATTTTAAGGGTATATTCTAAGGGTATGTCCTTTTAGTTTTTTTTTTTTAATCTGGTGTCACTTTGCTTTTGTTGTTTTTGTTTGTATGCTTCTTGATTTTTGTTATTTTCTCTTTAAAATAAAAAAATCTGTAATTATGTTGATTTTAACAAATGTATTGTGACTTATTAGTAACCAGAACTTGATAAGAAAATATAAAGTTTATCCACAGTAATGCAGTCTATTACATATAAAGCACTTTACTCTTTTTTTTTATTTAAGAGGAAAAAGAGAAAAACACAAAACAAAACAAAGCAGTGTAAGGGTACACGTAATACAGAACTACAAAAAGAAAAAAAAAAACATAACAGTAAGAAATCACCTGTTAGTAGATTACATATTATCAACTTGAAAATAGTTGCTCAAATCACAGTATCAAAGAATACAAGGTGGACATTCAAACAGGGAGACTGCAAACAGCTGGGTTCAATGATCCAAAAACATTGATATAGTCAGCTATTCAACAGCCCTAAACACACTTGCTGTTATATCCGTTAGAGCTCTTTTTCTTTTTTTTTTTTTTTTCTTTTTTTTTCCCCTCTCTATTTTACAACAAAATTTACACATTTTGGATTTTATTACTCCTTAGTGCTTATTACTTTTTTTTGGGGGGGGGGGAGGTTTTGACTGACAGCTTTGTTTAGCACTTTACTCTTAATAACCTGGAAACTCAAGACAGAGTCTAGGGAGTAGCTCAGTAGTAGAGAGTGCACTTATCAAGCATAGGCAAGGTCCTAGGTCTAACCCACTGAAATTCAAGTCAGACATTAAAATAAGCCAAGCGTGGTGGTGCGCATGCCTATAATTGCAGCCCTCCAGAGGCTGAGGCAGGAAGATTGCTGTGAATTTGAGGCCAGCCTGGACTTACACAAGCCAGTTTAACACCTGCCTGTACTACACAGTGAGACTCTGTCTCAAAAAACAAAAAATCATTACAATGAATAAAGAAGATCTATAACTATCTAGACTGTATTAAACTAGAATGATCATTTTGATACAGTAAAGGAATTAAGATATAACAAACTGGGTATGGTAATGCATTCCTCTAATCTCAGCTATTTAGAAGACTGAAGCAGGAGGATTTCAAGTTTGAGGCAAGCCTGGACAAACTGGCAAAATCCTGTCTCAAAACAAAATATAAATTAAAAAGTCGGAGATGCAGCTAAGCACTTACTCCCTGAGATCAGTCCTCAAAACAAATTTTAAAAAAGGAGACCAAGCAACCAATCTGAAATATATTGTTGTACTCTAAGAAAATAGCTTCGTTATATGTGTATTATAGCAAACCTGCAACGTGGCTTACTAAATGTGTTTGTTTTATCCTTTTTCCCTAACTGATATGTTAAGTGACCTAATTGATATGTTGAGCAACACTCTCCCCTGTAAAGAATTGCAAGAATCTCACCTAATTGATATGTTAACCATTGTTGCCCTCTACAAACTACAGAAGCTGTGCTAAAACAAGCTAACAAGGGTTGTTAATCACTGCTAGGCGCCTCTATTCTCCGCTAAAGAGCTAAGGAATACTAGAATGGCAATTAATTTACACTTGTTTAAAGTAACCAGCTTGTGTGCAGAGAGATTTGCCTGTGAGTTTAACCCTTTACCCTGACCTTGACACATAACCGCCGCAGTTATCTGTTCTGTATGGTGCCTTATTGCCTCCCTCTCCCCTCACCTATCTATCTAGGCCATAAAGAATTTGGGTTTCTGGTGACCTCCCCCCGACCCGGTGATGATCTGTCATAAAATGAGCCTGCCCCAATTTTAAGAACTGCTTAGCTTAAAGAAATTACCGGGTAATACTATGGCCCAAACCCTGATTGGTGCTTTCCTTTTGTTCTGTATGTATCAAATGAGTTAGATATCAGGTCTTTATAAAACTTAAGTTCCAGCGTCTCATAACTCGTGACCCCTTCGCACTCACTAGTGAAGACAAGCTGTCCTGAGATAATTAACTCTCCACTTTCTTCTCCAAATATTGCTGCAGACGTGCCACTCTGAGATAATGTCAGTCTGCAAGATGGGAGTAATTTAAAAAACACCAGAAACTCCCTAGATTGTCAGAGCTAAGTGGACAGCAATACAGTTTCCAGACTCGGGTCAACAAGTTTGATGGCTCTACAGGTTTCTTTGTTTCTCTCCCCCCGCCTTTTCCTCCAGCACCTTTTTTAAAGTCCTCCCTTCAGCTTCTGGGGGACAGTCTCCACATTGGCTCCCGGAGACTGGTCGCCAGGCCTGGAAATAAAGCCTTTGCCACTAAATTTTCTGTTTCTTGCCTCCTTGGATTTTATACCGGGGCCCAAGTTATAACATATATATCCAAAAGAATTAAAAGCAAGAACTTGAACAGATATTTGTGTACAATATTCACAGGTTCATAGCAGCACTATTACAATAGCCAAAAGACAAAAACTCCAATGTCCAGCAACAAATGAATAGATAAACAAAGTACAACACATATGTACAATGAAGAGCAATAAAATTTTGATATATGCTACACCAAGGAAGGAACCTGAACACATTGTGCTTTGTAAAATAGCCTTTCTGAGGTGGGGAGAAGAGCGAGTAAATAACGTATAAGTACAGAATCTCTGAGAAGACACACAAAAAACTGATTAATAGAGCTAGAGACTGCAGCTCAGAGGCAGAGTAAGCAGAACACCCTGGGTTCAATCGCTGCCACCATGAAAAGGAAAAGAAAAAAAAATAAGAAATGTAATAACAGGAAAGATTAGGAAAAAGAAGATTGGGAATAAAAAGCAGATGTACCTGTTGCTATAGCACCCTTCATACTGTGTAAGAGTTCTTACCATGTGCATATATTGTTCAAGGACTTTAATAACAAAAGAAAAATACTGTTCAGGTAAGGAAACCATCCATATACACTAAAATCATTGGGAAAGGGCTGTGGGAGAGGCAATTTTCATGTTATCTCAAAATACTACCCCAGAGATTACTGATTACTTACAAATGCTGAGAAAGTATACATTTACAGTGAAGTAAACTAGAAGTAGTCATCACCTGAAATAAGCAATCAAACAACTCCACTGATAAAGAAAACAGAATTGGGGCTGGGGATTTAGCTCAGTGGCATAAGCACCTGCCTTGCAAGCAGGCTGTCATGAATTCGATCCCCAATACCGATTAAAAAAAAAAAAAGAAAGAAAGAAAACAATTAATACTGACTTAGGTGAAGCAAGGTATACACATCACCTTTATGTCTCTTGTATAGCATTAATGCAATTAATGTTTAGTCTAATTGCATAGTCTTGAAAAAATTAGGAGCAAATTTAGACTGAGACATTTATGATACTGACTTAGATTCTTCAATAGTTAATTACTTTTACTTTTTTAAAAAATGCAGGTTAACTTTATATGCCCCACTTTAGTGTCTTGAATAACTATTTGTAAGAGGGCATCTGTAATCATCAATTAGTGATTTCTTACTGTTTATTTTTTTCTTTGAAAGTACGTATTATTTCTACTCGTTTCTGTTTTGTTTAGTCTTTCTTTAAAAAAAAATTTTTAAAAAGACACTACAGTACCCAGTGCTGATCCCAGAGTGTCATGATGTGAAATCCAGCAATACTATTATTCTTTGTTCAGAATGATTTTAGCCTGCTTTAGTTTGTTTAATCTCAACATAAATGAAGATATGGATAACTGCATGTATGTTTAAATGTATAGGATTGACAAGCATATTACTAAGTTTTGGTTGGATAGATGAACAGAAATGTTTGCAGTGTCACTGTTTGAATTCCCACTTTATATGTTCCACTTTCGTATCTTTTTTTTTTTTTTTTTGGTCTTTTTCGTTTTCGTTTTTATAGGTACCAGGGATCGAAACTCAACGACTGCCTGCTTGCAAGGCAGGCACTTATGCCGCTGAGCTAAATCCCCAGCCCCTCACTTTTATATCTTGAACAACTATTTTTTTTTTTATTTAAGAGGAAAAAGAGAAAAACACAAAACAAAACAAAGCAGTGTAAGGTTACACATAATACATAACTACAAAAAAAAAACATAACAGTAAGAAATCACCTGTTAATAGATTACATAATATCATCTTGGAAATAGTTGCTCAAATCACAGTATCAAAGAATACAAAGTAGACATTCAAACGGAGAGACTGCAAACAGCTGTGTTCAATGTTGAACAACTATTTGTAAGAAGACAGTATGTAGGGGCTGGGGGTTTAGCTCAGTGGCATAAGCACCTGCCTTGCAAGCAGGCAGTCATGAGTTCGATCCCTGGTACCGATAAAAAGGAAAAAGACAAAAAAAAAAAAAAAAAGAAGACAGTATGTAAACTTCAATTAGTGATTTCTTACTGTTTATTATTTTCTTTGAACCTATGTATTATTTCTACCCATTTTGTGTTTTGCTTAGTCTTTCTTTAAATAAATTTTTTTTAAATGCAGGTTATCAATCTATATTTAAAGGACATAAAAACTAAATTATGCCAACATGAATAGATCCAGGATCAGGGAAAAAATAAAGACAATTATAGGAGATATGTGGGGAAGAAAAAATTTAAATACACACATTACATATTAGATGATAATGAATTAGAGGTACTTTCTTTAGGTGAGATAAATTGGGCTTATGCCACACAGTCTGGTTTTAGGAAAAGCAGGTCAAACTTTTAGGAGGAGAATAAGGAATATGTTGAAGACTTCAACTTACTTTCACTTAAAATGTGTGTATGTAC